AGTGTCACAAAGGACAGGCAACCACCCGAGGTGAACCCAAGGACATTAGTTTGAGTGAGTCTGTGATGCTGCCTCCTATTGCAGTTGCAGTTTCTGAGTAATTAACCCAATGATTATATATCTTTTGCTGTTTTCATTTGTGTTTGAATTTTCAAAGTCTGAACGGATGCTCAGTTTGTTCCACTGATATCATACTACGAGGTGCCATTAACTTCTAGATTAGTTTATCTATCAATGTCATGTGGGTCTCTGGGTATAGTATTAAAAGGTTTGAATTTCTTTCCATTGACTCAAGCTCACACTTTTTCATTGGCAATATTTGTAGTGATATAGAAATCTCTTATAACCAGATCAGCTTCCTAAACCAACTCAATAATGTTTACTATTTAAGTAAATTCACTACTGTGAAATCAACAATATCATGCCTGACTAGTTTGAATAAACACTGCAAACCATATTCTTAAAAGGTAAATTTATTTTAAAAAATACTAACAAATATACTGAGCTTTTGTGTCAGTACAGAATAGAAATAAAAATGTCAAAGAAATGAAATTGTGAAAATATAAAATGCCCAACAGAGCTGTTAAAGCCCATGATTCTCCAGAACACAATAGGAAAACAGCAACTTGAGACAGTTCCTAGCATCCTATATGAGCACTTATTTATGTCATTGTTATTTAGGATCCATTTATGTTCCTGGTATACAAATAACTGTTCTAGGGAACCAAATTAGGTTTTAGTGAAAGACTAGTAATAGTGAAGGCATGCAAATACCTACTATAATAAACTTTGTAACAAGACAGTATCTTATTAGCTATCCCCATTGGAACGAAAGTTACATGAGGGCAAGAGTGTGTCTATTTTGGGCTCCACTGTATGTTCAGATTCAATATTGAACCCAATGCCTGGCACAAAGTAAGCCTCACAAAATATCTGTTGCATGTATGAATGAATATTGTCAACTCTGTTGGCAGAGGTAAGGTGCCTGAAGCAGCAAAGATTTCCTGAAAATAAACCACACTGGCTTTCAAAAGTTCAGAATTAAACAAGACTTACCAGAATGTTTCACAATATAGATAAAAAGTGGTACATGCTATCACAAAAGGCAAAAATTCTGTTGGTGAAATTAGTAAACACTTAGTACTGTGGGGGGTCACTTGATGTGAAAGTGATTTCATCAGAGTCACTAAGATTACGGCAATATTTACTAGGGCGGTATCAAAGTCCAAATCACCTTCTTTATAACCAAATGGTACATTTGAAAACAGAGCATATAATTTACAGTTCATTTGCGACAGGATTTAACTGTATGAATTGGAGTGGGCTCAACTGGTTTTACACTAAAAACATTTATTAAACAGTATTCCATGGAATGGGGAATCAATTCGTAGTAATCACATTGCAAATTAACTTTAGTATTTATTTGCTGTATTTGCAAATTGAGACAATGATTAACATACATTGGCTTTCTCTTGTAAGCTAGATATCTTCTCTTTGGACAAATACATTTATAAAATTATTTTATCAGAAGTACATTTTGGGTAGTTCACCTGAAAGATCATGGTGCAACGGCTTCCTCTACAGGTTATTTTTATATTCTAATTCTGAGCTTTCTCAATATCCCTCTTGAGCTTCCTCTGTTGCTTCCTGTTATGCCCAAGGCTGAATGTTCCAGCAAAAATAGTTTCAAAACCACTTTAAGCCTTAAGCAGTCCACCCAGTTTCCAACTTTTCTCTCATCAGTTTGCATTCTAACTAAAGCAGTATATAATGCCCATGAATTCTAAAGTGCTATGTGCAAACACAAATAGTTAATTCAATTCAAATGATTTAATGAGATAACATGCAATGCCCATTTACACTACCTTCACATGCACACTCACATTCCCATAATATACTAAATGAAACGTTACATTTTTAGTGAAATGAGAAATCGGAATCTGGAAGGTTAGAAACAAAATATTTCTCAAAATGTTCATTGGGGGTACCCCATTTGAATACAGGATTTCACTTTGCATGTTATTGAATGGTCACAAGAGAAGTACTAATAAAAATAACCTCTTCCATTTTGTAGGGTGAATTTAAACAAACTTAGCTCCTACTTATTATAAGGAAAAGAAGTTCTTATTAGAGCTATTTTGTGTGTGTCTTAAAACACAGTAAGCCACGGGAAAAAATATTCCTTATAATCTCTCACTATTTTTAAAAGAGACGAGTTTATAATCCCCAGCAAGTGATCTTATAGATGATGAGGATACATTGTACTAAATTCAGGGATCTTTACAATATATGGTTGTTTAAATCTATTTTGATATTTACAATGATAAAACAAACTCACCTCTTCAAAAGGCTGCTTTCATTTCAGTTATAAAATAGCCACAGTTGGAATAAAGATTGCTTACACTGAACTAAAATCTACTGCCATATAACTGCCAGCCATTTTTCCTAGCTCTGCTTTAGGAGCAAACTAAAACAACTATTGACATCATAAGTACAGTTATCACCACGTGAGGACAGTTCCAGCCCCAATTCTTTTTCTCTATGTTCTAGTCTTCAATTCCATAGAATACCATTAATGAATAATGGAAGTTTTCTGCCTTGCTTAACCTTTGGAACGTGTCACAATATCCAACCTTGTAAACTAATCAATACATTTCAGAAAATGTACTTGATGTGAAGGTCCTCAGACAAAACAGAGGTTTGTTGCAAGTGGCTGTTTCCGTTCCACTGACAATTAGCTTTATCAACCCTACGGCCTTGTCCTGGTTGCCAGAATAACATCAGACTCAGGATTCAGGTATGCGTGTTCTTTTCCACCTTCCAGGTGTTTTTGAGGGTGATTGAGTAAGTCTCTTGTTAAAAAGTGCTACTGAAGAATATCTTTTTCTCACAATTATCAAATCTGACTTTTCTCACCTCAAAAATATTTTGGGGGACATCCATCCAAAAAAATACATGCTGCAACTGCTTCCTTTACAGGCAATGTGACATTAAACAGGTGACATTAATTTGATGAGTCCTAAAGAGAATCTTAAAAAAAAAAATTCAACCCTTTCAAGTCTGTATACAATCACCACCACCTCTGCTGCAAGCCATCAGATAGAAATTTCCACCCAGGCATATGTTTACACAGTCTTCCATAGAATTGTGACTGTTAGAGAGGAGAGGACATCTTTGGGATTAATGCCTGACAGCAGTTACCATCATGTCACCTGAGATAACTTTCCCAACATTTAAAGTGAGAAGGACAAACCACTAAAAGTTACAGCCACTTAAAACAGAGAGTAGGCCATTTATATACTTCCTACATTTTTCCGGAAGATATAACATCACAGGAGGGAAATTTCCTGGGCTTATTTGCATAAATGATGAGTCAGGTTAGGAGAACACTGACTGATGTGTTCTCACATACGTGATGGACATGCTGAATGAGAAGGTCTCATGATTAGTAAAGAACTCATCTCCCTCTGCAGTAACTAGCTCTTTCCTGCAGCGTGAATGAACTCAAGAGCAGGTCCTGTGATTTTTCTGTTCCCTCTCAAATACCAATGTCATTTCATCGTGAGAGTGCCTAGCTGTATTTAATAGTCAAAAATGTTTTAATTCATTGAAAGTTGAAGCTACTCCCCCATTCAGGACTGTTTCTGTCCTGTTGCCTGTGCTGGGAAAGGGGGACACAGATACCTGCCTCTCGTCTTCTTTGCCTATTCTCTTTTCCTGCTTCCTCCTACTCTCTAGGTTGCTTCTAGCTCCTCCAGGGATAACACAGGAAAGGAGAAGCTAGTAAGAGAGATAGCAGCAGGAAAAACTCAATTCAATGGACAAAAATTTCAGTGGGCAGCATGGTGAGCCAAGGTTGTCTCCTCTGGCTATGAAGGTGTGCAAAGCTACCGTTTTCTCTTACTGTGTTCTTTGGTGATCTCTCTCCCTCGTTATTCCTGGAGATCTCGAATATGCAGCTGGCACCTTAAGCCTCTCCTCTGGGCCCCTGGTTTTCAAATTGTCTACCTCCACACAGAGACCCAACTGTTGGCAGTCCACTGCTCTGTAGATAGCACTTTTTTGGGGATGGAGCTGGGACTGGGGGAAATACATTTAAGAAAACTCCTGGCCAGATCACTCTCCTGCTTGAGCTACATCAGGTCTGCAGGTCACATGACAGCTTCCCACCCAGTCCTCTGCCTTGTTCTCAGGCCACTTGGAGGAGCAAGCCCATCGCCCTCTAGATTTCTCCAACCTGAATCAGACACCTGTCCATTACACCCCAAACTCCAAGAGTCCCCTGTCAAGCGCTGAGTGGTGTCTTGAAGCCCTTGTCACTACGTGAAAGTGAAAGGAAACACTCCCCACCATCCCCCAGACTCACCACACTAACTTTGTCCAAAATATTCTTTACCTGATTTCCACCTTGTCCCCAGCTGAATTCCTAGCTTTCCCTTAGACAGCCAGGAGCCGAGTAGCAGAGCACAGGTGGCAGCACTAACTCTCTTGTACCTCTTTTAAAGTCCTGCATTAGTGGCGCCAGCCCCTCACCTTGGAGTGGAGACACTCTCCACTTATTTGTTGTTCTTTTTTTCTTTTCAGGACTTAGGTAAAACTGAGACAATAAAAGAAAGAAGGGAGGAAGCAGGGTGGGAAAGAGGGAGGAAAGGAAAACAATTCTCATTTAGGTATCATTATAAAGATAGGTCCTAACAGTTGCCATATCAATAGCTTCCGACTCACTAGTCGACATGTATCATTTGACTCATCTATGGTCAGTATTAGTTTACTCTCTCCTTTGGTTCTGCTGGTGACTAAAATATAACAGAATGCCATAAAATTGTGGCCCGATGTGACAGAAGAGCTAGAAAGGCCCCCAAAATATGAAATTGCATATTAACATTGAGAAAATGCAACTTTCACCATAGGCCACGTGGAAGATCACTTTATACAAGTACATGTAACATAATAGTCATCAAAAGGGGAAACATACAAATTTTTCTATTTCTGCCTCCTAGGCCGGGATTATGAAAAGAATAAAGTCTGCAAGGAATTCACCCATCTGGGAAAGGAGGACTTCACATCCTTGTAAGTGTGCAGTAGCCACTCCCTCTCTTGGTGATTTGATCTTGGACAAAACTGAGTGTGAGGTAACTTTGACTCAGCATGGAGGTTAATCCTTAATCCTTGCCAAGAGTAAGAGGACAGAGCCCCAGGCCCAATGTAGGCACAGGAGTCAAGCAAATTAAGGACAGCCAGAGATTCCAGTTGACCTTTTGTTACCACGGTCTAAGAATTTGTCACCAGTAAGTTTATGAATGAGTTCAAAGATAATACGTAAAGCATAGCTTTCTAATTTCAATTAAAATGCAACAGTACATTCCAGGAATCTGGGAAACCAAGGCAATGAGGTGCAGAGCAACTACATTTGGGGAGGCTTAAGAAGAACAACACCAGACTGGTTTGATGGAAGCCCTAAGTTCAATTTCTGCTGCTTTCCAAGATAAATTTGCCTAGAACAAAATCTGCTTTTTAAATTAAACCTCATTTTTTTCAGTAGTCAAATAAAGAAGTAAATGTGTACAATATTTCATTTAAACATTGAACAGGTTTCGTATTTATGTGCCAAAATGCAAAAAAAAAGTTTCAGTTCTGGCTGGGCACAGTGACTCACGCCTGTAATCCCAGCACTTTGGGAGGCCAAGGAGGGCAGATCACGAGGTCAAGAGATCTAGACCATCCTGGCCAACATGGTGAAACCCTATCTCTACTAAAAATACAAAAATTAGCCAGGTGTGGTGGTGCACACCTGTAGTCTCAGCTACTCGGGAGGCTGAGGCAGGTGAATCGCTTGAACCCAGGAGGCGGAGATTGCAGTGAGCTGAGATCACACCACTGTACTCCACCCTGGGCAACAGAGCAAGACTCTGTCTCAAAAAAAAAAAAAAAGTTTCAGTTCTAATTGATATATTTTCTTATTTCCCCTCAGGTCACTAGTTCTGTACAGTAGAAAATTTCCCAGTGGCACGTTTGAACAGGTCAGCCAGCTTGTGAAGGAAGTTGTCTCCTTGACCGAAGCCTGCTGTGCGGAAGGGGCTGACCCTGACTGCTATGACACCAGGGTAGGTTTCTGTGGTTGCCCGTCTCTGTGGCAGCCCAGAGAAGTAAGCCAAAATAGGACTTTATACCATGTGTTAAAAAAATTTTAGACAGCAACTCCACTTATTCCTAGTTTTGGGGAAATATGAAGCCTGTTGTCTTTAGAGCCCAGTTTATTCTAACATAAAGAGTCAATATTAGCCATTATTCCTACAAGGTTCAAATGAGAAAACTGGGTCATAGAGTAATTTAGTGATTTATTAAATATACATTGCTAGCAAGAAGCAGTTACAAAATATAAATTCAGATATGACTCTAAAACCTAAGTTTTTATCACCATACATTTGATGTTCTCAAATATCAGCCCATGGATCATTATTCTAAGTGAAGTAACTCAGAAATGAAAACCCAAATAGCGTATGTTGTCACTTATAAGTGGGAGCTAAGCTACGAGTATGCAAAGGCATAAGAAGGACACAATGGACTTTGGGAACTTACAGGGAAGGGTGAAGGGGGCAAGGGATAAAAAACTATACATTGGGTACAGTGTACACTGCTCTGACTATAGGTACACCAAAATCTCAGAAATCACCCCGAAAGAGCTTAGCCATATAACCAAAAACAAAATAGTTTTGTTCCCCCAAAACTATTGAAATTAAATATATATGTGTATACATATTTTTAAATATATTGTTAGATAATTAAATATATGCATATATATATATATACATCAGCTCATGAACCTCTTGAAATAATCCTAAAATATTGTGTATAGCTTAAAAACCTGATCATAGCTTTATCCTCTTTTATTATCATGCCAGGACTAGTACCAAGTGCTCCAGAATAATTTAGTGTTGGTTTCACATTTGGGAGGAGGATTCAAAAGTTGCCCTGTATGCACAAAACTAAATTCTAAGTTTCTCCCCTATAGCACTTATGCAAAAGTTAAAAAGCTGAAATGAAAAGGGTTAAATCTAAGGAGTTTCAGCAATTTATTAATGTAGTCATCAGGCCTGATGCAAATGACATTTAGATGCATTTTGATAAAAGTTTTTACAAACAGATTTGTCTCACTGTTCAAGCCTTCAGCAGATATCATACAGAAACAATGCTCCAAAGATCTGATTAGAATAGATTCTACACAATGAATATTCTTACCCATTAATTGCTTTACCTGTCCGTTATTATTTTTTCAGAATTTTATCATCCTTTTCTTCCACCAACAAGTTCATACATATTTTTATTTTAACCTGAGCTTCTGTACCACCTTAAACTACAAAAGCATCAAATCATCAACCATGGTCAACATAACAGAGCACATTTTTATCTTATGTATTTGCTAATGCATATTTGCTAATGTATTTGCTAATACATCCCTTGATCAGAGATATGATCTGTCTCTACAATCCTAGAGTGTAAGAGAACAGATATGACATTGATATTTTTTGCGTGATATATTTCTCGTTCTCCTGCTTGTTCAAAACATTTCTGAAAAGTGTTTTGAAATTTTGTCAACCTTTTTTTACTTGAAAGAAGATAACTTTAAAAAGGCAAAAAGAAGGGTTGCCAGGGAAGTGAATGGAAAGGAAAAAGATGGAATGAAAAGAGAGGATGAAAAGGAGAGAAAGAGTCTAATTTTTAACTTCTCCGAATCTGATGAAAGGATGGTATTGAAGATGGTGAGAAGTTAGTTTACATAAGTAATTTATCACGTTGCCATCCTTCACTGGTAGAAAAGATTTTTCGAAATTTTACCTTAAAAAGATGACTAACTTATAAATTAAGTATAAGAATGTCAAAGTACTGTTTCCCATATAAATCCCAAAGTAATTTTCTCTGTGATGACTACTTCTATTCTTTTTTCCTCTATGGTGATTCTATTTTAGATTTTAATTTCAAATATGAAATTCTTTCCAAAAAGAGCATTTTGATGCTACGATTGCTTTGATGGTGTTTAGTCTGCTCACAGGGATCAGTGTAGCATTGCTGAAGCAGTAAATGCAGGTGCATCAGTGGTTTTCAACCTACACTGCACCTGCACATGAATCTTGGAGCTTTGGGAAAAACAGATTTTCTGGCCCTATTTTTGACCTACTGAAAAGAATTTTTGTGTTGTGCAACCAAAGCATTTTTTATTTTATGCACTCTATGTGTAATTCTGATGCAAAAGCAGGTTCAAGAATCGTTAGGTAAGAGAATACAAATAATGTAGAAAGTTATGGGAGCCAGCAATGAAGAGTCTGCTCATTTCATAAAGGGAGGGGAGGACAGCTCATTTAATAAACAGAGGGAGGTCCTCCTCACTCTTAATGGGGCATTTGCAGCAGAAAGCAGGTGGGAGATGATGACAGAATCACCAGTGGCGCTTTTTCAAATGACCCTCTCACCCTCAGAGATGTTAATATCCCCATGGAGGAACACTGGGCTAGAGAATACAATTCTAATGCCTCTAATCAGATAAACACTGTCCATTTATTATTCAAAGTTCTATTTTTGTTCTACTCTGAGGAGACATTTATTAACATAAATAAGATCCTATATTTGCCAATAATCGTACAACTTGTCATGTTAAAAAAATCACCTCATGGAGCCCTTGGCATGAATACATAGTTACAAAGAAGGAGGATTTTCTAATTATAGGCTAAGATATTATATTAAATGGAGGTCTAGGAGCCGGGAAATTTACATATATATATGAGTTTCCTTTTTTCTTCTCTTCCAGACCTCAGCACTGTCTGCCAAGTCCTGTGAAAGTAACTCTCCATTCCCTGTTCACCCAGGCACTGCTGAGTGCTGCACCACAGAGGGCCTGGAACGAAAGCTCTGTATGGCTGCTCTGAAGCACCAGCCACAAGAATTCCCTACCTACGTGGAACCCACAAATGATGAAATCTGTGAGGCGTTCAGGAAAGATCCAAAGGAATTTGCTGATAAGTGAGCGCTTTCATCATAAATAGAACTTTAGGGCCTAAAATATCAGACATGACTCTAATCTAACCCCCAATTCTGTGGAAACACCTCTTCTACAGCAATCTGAACAAATTATGGTAACTTGACTGTCATCTAAGGCAGCCCATCTTCCCTTTGGTGTTGAGTTTAGAGAATGCCCTTCTCCGAGATAAAATCAATTTTCCCAAACTCTTATTAACCCTAATCCTATTATCTTAATCAGAATCACTTGAGTCTCCTGTCCACGGGATATATTTTCAAATATTTGACAGCCCCTGTGGTGATTTCCCTGATGCTAAGGATCATTGCGTATGTCACATGATAGAAGCAATTCTATTGCTGTACACATTTTAAATACTTAATGTCCAGTAAAGCATAAAAAATAAACAGCTTCTCTCTTCACTCCTATACATCCCAGAAACAAGTGACGTGGGCATGTGAATATGACACATCTACTATATCAAGTAAACATGTAACCTGGAAATTTTTATTGTTTAACATGCATAAGGGGCCAGATTATACACTGATTCTTTCTGTTAGTCTTGGAAGATCACAAAAATGAACAAAACTGGGGGAAAATACATTTATTAAAATAAGAAATATATACATATTCAAAAACCAGAAGCAATGTCATTCAAAGTGGTCACAAATTGTAAAAATTAGTAGGATTGCTCATTCCTGTCAATTTTCAAAGAGGATGTTGCCCAGAATTTCCGAGTCCCTTATAAATCTGAAAGGACATCTATTCTCAGAAATAGAAATTATTTATTCCAACAAATAAGTAATCTATGCATAAAAATTATCTAAAATAATAAACTGAGATCAATAAGGAAAAATAAATCTAGTAATTACACTCATTTTAATTAATTCAATTAGCAGCTTAATTAACAAGCAGCTACCATGGGTGATTCACCTGACTAGACATGAGGTGAATAAAGGGACGAATGGCCCCTCCTTTCACACAAACCACATAGAAATTTGTAAACCTATTTTTAATGAATATACTGATTAATAGTGGCCAGTATTACAACATTTTCTCTAAATTCTTAGTGTTTTTTAGATATTAAAACTATAAATTAATGTAACATATATCTTTTCTCCATCAAAATACTTCCTAAAAAGCAGGTTTTTGGGGCCAAGCATGGTGGCTCACATCTGTAATCCTAGCACTTTGAGAGGCTGAAGTGGGAGGATCACTTGAGCCCAGGAGTTCGAGACCAACCTGGGCCAATTAGTGAGACCTAATTTCTACAAGAAATTTAAAAATTAGATGAGCATGGTGGCATACACCTGTAGTCCCAGCTACTCAGGAAGCTGAAGCAGGAGGATCACTTTGCCCAGGAAGTTGAGTGAGCTATGATTATATCAGTGTACTCCAGCCTGGATGACAGGGCAAGACACTGTCTCAAATAACAAAGTAGATTTTGTTTATTCACAAATTTTTTGACCAATTCTATTTTTTCCTCCACAGATTTATGTGGGAATATTCCACTAATTATGGACAAGCTCCTCTGTCACTTTTAGTCAGTTACACCAAGAATTATCTTTCTATGGTAGGGTCCTGCTGTACCTCTGAAAGCCCAACCGTATGCTTTTTGAAGGAGGTATGTCCCATTTTACTTATTACATGTTTACGTTTTTTTCTTCTAATAGCATTCCTTTTAGATAATGGTAGGAATTGAGATTTTACAATCAGTAAAAGTTTATAAAATGCCTCCCTTGCATCTTCTTAATTGGAAAATAAAAGTAATACCTCTGGAAAAGTAATATCAATAAGTTCCTTTCATTAGTGTTCAGTTTCCTAGTCATTAAAAAATCATGAAATTAATAGTCCCTATTTTTGCCATTTATACGATATTCAGTGAATCTTGACCATCTAATGAGATTCTTTCACTTGTTTTCTAGAGACTCCAGCTTAAATATTTATCACTTCTCACCACTCTGTCAAATAGAGTCTGTTCACAATATGCTGCTTATGGGGAGAAGAAATCAAGGCTCAGGTAAAGATTAAGTGCTATTGTCATACTTAGATGTTTGGTTCTGCACTATCTATCCATAATTTTAGGGTTTTTTAAGATGTCTATATTGAAAGATATAACACAGACTTTTCAGCTCCAATAATCTTCAAAAGTCTGGGCAAATTCTTCTTTTCTTTTCTCTATACAGGTTATGAACAATAAGGAAAAAGTTTATGTCATAAAACATGAGATTTGCTTTTAATCAATCTTTTCCATATAGTTAACCACTAGAAAATATTTTTTCAGTGTTTATATCAGCATATGTTACAAACAAAAAAGCAAAAAACAAAAACAAACAAACAAAACCACAACCTTTTTGTTTATTACCTATTATTTGCCTTGCACAATTTATCTTGGAATGAGACATCTGAATTCTTACTTGTTGTATGAAGACTTGTGCTACACAGTATATATCTCTTGCCCTTCATTAATTTATTCTCATTAGTTATCTACCGTTGTATTAGTCTATTTTCACTCTGCTGATAAAGACATACCTGAAACTGGAGAATTTACAAAAGAAAGAGGTTGAATTGGACTAATAGTTCCACATGGCTGAGGAGGCCTCACAATCATGGTGGAAAGCAAGGAGGAGCAAGTCACATCTTGCGTGGATGGTAGCAGGCAACGAGAGAGCTTGAGCAGAGAAACTCCTGTTTTTAAAACCATCAGATCTCATGACACTCATTCACTATCATGAGAACAGCGCAGGAAAGGCCTGCCCCAATAAATCAGTCACCTCCCACTGGATTCCTCCCATGACATGTGGAAATTGTGCGAGTTATAATTCAAGATGAGGTTTGTGTGGGGACACAGCCAAACCATATCATCCCACCCCTGTCACCTTCCAAATCTCATGTCCTCACATTTCAAAACTAATCATGCCTTCCCAACAGTCTCCCAAAGTCTTAACTCACTTCGGCATTAACTCAAAAGTCCACAGTACAATGTCTCATCCAAGACATGGCAAGTCCCTTCTGCCTATGAGCCTGTAAAATCAAAAGCAAGCTAGCTGCTTTCTAGATACAATGGGGGTATAGGCACTGGGTAAATGCAGTCATTACAAATGGGAGAAACTGGCCAAAACAAAGGGGCTACAGGCCCCATGGAAGTTCAAAATCCAATGAGGCAGTCAAATCTTAAAGGTCCAGAATGATCTCCTTTGACTCCATGTCTCATATCCAGGTCATGCTGATGCAACAGGTGGATTCCCATGGTCTTGGGAAGCTCCACCTCTGTGACTTTGCAGGAGACAGCCTCCCTCCCAACTGCTTTCAAAGGCTGGCGTTGAGCAGCTGTGGCTTTTCCAGGTGCACAGTGCAAGCTGTCAGTAGATCTACCATTCTGGGGTCTGGAGAATGGTGGCCCTCTTCTCACAGATCCACAAGGCAGTGCCCCGGTAGGGACTCTATTTGAAGGCTCCACACCCACATTTCCCTTCTGCACTGCCATAGCAGAAGTTCTCCATAAGAACCCTGCCCCTGCAGCAAACCTCTGCCTGGATATCCAAGTGTTTTCATACATCCTCTGAAATCTAGGCGGAAGTTCCCAAACCCCAGCTGTTGACTTCTGTGCACCCGCAGGTCCAACACCACTTGGAAGCTGCCAAGGCTTGAGGCTTGCACCCTCTGAAGCCATGGCCCGAGCTCTACATTGGCCCCTTTCAGTCATGGCTGGAGCAGCTGGGACACAGGGCACCAAATCCCTAGATTGCACACAACATGGGAACCCTGAGCCTGGTCCACGAAAGCACTTTTTCCTCCTAGGTCTCCAGGCCTGTGATAGGATCAGCTGCTGTGAAGACTTCTGACATGCCTTGAATAGATTTTCCATATTGTCCTGGGGATTAACATTCAGCTCCTTGTTACTTATGCAAATTTCTGCAGCCAGCTTCAATTTCTCCTCATAAAATGGGCTTTTCTTTTCTATCGCGTTGTCTGTCTGCAAGTTTTCCAAACTTGTATGCTCTGCTTACCTTGTGAAACTGAATGCCTTTAACAGCACTCAAATCACCTCTTGAATGCTTTGCTGCTTGGAAATTTCTTCTGCCAGATACCCTAAATCATTTTCCTCTAGTTCAAAGTTCCACAGATCTCTAGGGCAGGGGCAAAATGTCACCAATCTCTTTGCTAATACATAACAAGAGTCACCTTTGCTCCAGTTCCCAAAAAGTTCCTCATTTCCATCTGAGACCACCTTAGCCTGGACCTTATTGTCCATGTTGCTATTAGCATTTTGGGCAAAGCCATTCAACAAGTCTCTAGGAAGTTTCAAACTTTCCCACATCTTCCTGTCTTCTTTTGAACCCTCCAAACTGTTCCAACCTCTTCCTGTTACCCAGTTCCAAAGTCACTTCCATATTTTCCGCTATCTTTTCAGCAGCACCCCACTCCTGGTACCAATTTACTGTATTAGTCTGTTTTCATGCTGCTGATAAAGATATACCTGAGACTGGGCAATTTACAAAAGAAAGAGATTTAATTACTCACAGTTTCACGTGGCTGGGGAGGCCTCACAATCATGGTGGAAGTCAAGGAGGAGCAAATCATATCTTACATGGATGGTGGCAGCCAAAGAGAGAGTTTGTGCAGAGAAACTCCTGTTTTCAAAACCATCAGATCTTGTGAGACTCATTCACTATCATGAGAACAGCTCAGGAAAGACTGCCCCCATAATTCAATCACCTCCCACAGAGTTTCTCCCACCACATGTGGGAATTGTGGAAGTTACAATTAAAGATGAAATTTGTGTGGGGACACAGTCAAACCATTTCAACCTTATATTTGCAACCCTCACTTTGATTTTTGTATGACTACTGTTAACTCGTATTTTAATTTTGATAGTTTCTGTGTTGCACTTCTCTCATACCTTCTCAAACATCTAGATTTACCAACTTTTTTCCCTCAGTACTTACAGTCTCTTTAACTCCTTCTACTATGCCCTACAAGCTTTTTTCCTCTAATGGTAATCAAAGAACTTCTTGCCAGCAATGCGTAATAAGCTTCTGTAATGGGAATAGAAACTACTTTCTTGAGTTCTTTAAATATAAAATTATCTCAGAACTACTTGAATACTCAATGACACTTTCTCTAGTCCTTTCTTTAACTTTCCTTTTACATAGAGATAGTGTGTTTGGCAGGTAGAACAGAGGGAATATAAAGCCACCATATATATTACTTAGTCATTAAATGATACTTGTCTTTATGTCTAGAAATGTACTTAAAGGAAATAGCATTTGCTATGAACAGATTTAGCTACGAAATGTTACTACCACATTTTTACATTAGAAAATTAGAGATTTTCTAAATGTTCCAAGTTAATTATGATATATACATATTCTTTTTAAAGGCTACATAATAATCCACTGTATGTGTATACCATATTTTCTTTATTCATCTGTCAATGGACAATTGGATGGCTTTTGCCTCTTGGTTATTACATAATATATTGCTAAAATTATATAATAAAGAAATGTTTAATGAAAACTATAAAACATTGCTAAAAGAAATCTATAAAGAGCCGGGCGTGGTGGCTCATGCCTGTAATCTCAGCACTTTGGGAGGCTGAGGTGGGTGGATCGCAAGGGCAGGAGTTCGAGATCAGCCTGGCCAATGTGGTGAAACCCTGTCTCTACTAAAAACACAAAACTAAGCCAGGCGGGTGGTGGGGCCTGTAGTCCCAGCTACTCAGGAGGCTGAGGCAGGAGAATCACTGGAACCCAAGAGGCAGAGGTTGCAGTGAGCCGAGATCATGCCATTGCACTCTAGCCTGGGCGACAGAGTGAGATTTTGTCTCAAAAAAAAAAAAAAAAGAAAGAAAGAAATCTAAAAAGATGGAAATAAATGGAAAGATATCACATGCTTATGGTTTGGAAGACCTAACACTGTTTAAATGAGAGCAATCCAGAGACTCGATGCAATCCCTATCAAAATCTTAATGCCATTTTCTGCAGAAATAGAAGAAAACATCCTAAAATACTCAAGAGTTCCCAAGTAGCCAAAATAATCTTGAAAACAGAACAAACTTGAAGGTCTAACACTTTTGATTTTAAAACATTCTACAAAGCAACAGTAATTAAGACAGTGTGATGCTGGCATGAAGACAGATATATAGGCCAATGGAACAGACTAGAGAGTCCAGAAATAAACTTTTGCATATATGGCCAAATGATTTTCAGCAAGGGTGCCAAGATTACATAATGGGGTTAAAAGATAGTCTCTTCAAAAAATGGTGCTGGGGAAATCACATACCTCCATGCAAAAGAATGAGGTTGGAACTTTATATAATGTACAAAAATTAATTCAAAAATGGATTGAAGACCCAAATGTTAAGACCTAAAACTATAAAACTCCTAGAAGAAAACATAGGAGAAAAGCTTTCAGGATTTTGGATTTGGCAATGATTTCTTGAATATGACACCCAAGTACAGGCAACAAAAGCATAAACAAACAAATAGAACTACAACAAACTTTAAAACTTCTACATATCAAATGACACAATTAACAGGGCAAAAAGGCAACCTACAGAATGGAGAAAATATTTACAAATCATGTATCTGATAAGGGTTTAACATTCGGAATATACAAGAAACTTCTATAACTCAACAACAGAAACCAAGTAACTTAATTAAAATAGGGATAAAAGGCTTGAATAAACAATTATTGAAAGAAAATATACTAATGTCCAATAAACATATGAAAAGATGCTCAACGTCACTAACCTTAAGATACATGCAAATCAAGTCTACTACCATACCACTCTGAACACACCCAATCTCATCTGATCTCAGAAGCTAAATAGGGTCGGGCCTGGTTTGTATAATAATTGGATAGGAGAAATGCAAACCATAACCACAGTGAGGTATCACTTTACACCCATGAGGATAACCACTATCAAAAGAACAGAAATTGGCAAATGTTAGCAAAGATGCATAGAAATTGGAATGCTTGTACACTGTTGGTAGGAATGTAAAATGGTGCAATCATTATGGAAAACAGTATGGAAGTCCCTCAAAGCATTAAAAATAGAATTAACATGTAAACCATCAATTCCACTTCTGGGTATATATCTTAAAAATTCAAAGCAGGATCTCAAAGAGATTTGCACTTCCATGTTCACTGCAAAATTATTCACAATAGCCAAGAGGTGGAAGCAACCCATATGTCCATCAACAGATGAATGGATAAAGACAATGTGGCATATACATACAGTGGAATATTATGTAGCCTGAAAAAAGAAGAAAATCCTGTCACATGCTACAAGGATGAACCTTGAGGACTTTCATTATGCTAAGTGAAATATGCCAGTCTCAAAAGGATAAATACTCTATAATTCCACTCATATGAAGTATTTAAAGTAATCAAAATCACAAAGACAGAAAATGAAAAGGTGGTTGCCAAGGGACTGGAGGATATTGGAGGGGAAGTGGGAGCAAAGCAAATCAGTGTTTAATGAGTATAGTTTGAGTTTTGCATGAGCAAAATTTCTAGAGATCTGTTGCAAAGCAATGTAAATATACTTAAACACTGAATGTATACCTTAAAAATGGTTAAGATAGTAAATTTAATGTCATTTTCACCTCAATTTTTAAAAATAATATTTAATCATATTCATGATATATCAGGAATATTAATATAGAAAAAAATACTTAATGATATTCCTTGTATATTAAGTGAAAAAGACAAATATGAGAATAGTATAGCATATCATTCACAAAGAAAATATTTAAAGGTTGCACATCCAAAATATGAACATTTATTAACTCTGTGATATAAAGCTATAGGTCTCTATAGTTTCTAAAAGAATTTATAACACACACTTTTTACAATTCTGTGAGAGGCCAGAACAATACAACCTTGGCCTTATGAATAGAGAGAAAGAGACATTTGTGATTTCTTCATTGATGCTTTGGATCTAACATTTTAAAGACGTGCTTTCACTATGTAGATCTGGCAAGAAGAGAAGCTGCATTTGAGAACTCAAAATTTGAAAATATTCATTAGGGATCTCTTGATCTTGAGTCTGTGGCTTGGGTACATAAGATCTATTGCATGGCAGATGTGCTCCCATGCATCTCTTGAGGTCAAGGAGTTGAAACTGTGATATTATTTCTCCAAAGAGTGTGTTCATCATGAAACCAAGGAAACTGAGAATGTTGATAAGCTAACAAATTTACTTTTAACTGTTTAGCCATCTCATAAAGTTAGCCCAAAAAGTGCCTACTGCTGATCTGGAGCATGTTTTGCCACTAGCTGAAGATGTTACTAACATCCTCTCCAAATGCTGTGAGTCTGCCTCTGAAGATTGTATGGCCAAAGAGGTAAGACAATCTTTATTATCATTATCACCATGTGCCAGGTATTGAGTGCCAAGTACTGAGTGCCAGGTACTCTTCTAAGCTCTATTTCATATGCATTATCCTAACAGATGCTCACATGTATCCTGTGAAATATAAATAATTCTTAACATCACTGTACAGGTGAAAAAACAGAAGATTAGCAAGGGTCAATAATTTGAGATCACACTACTAGTAAGTGGCAAAGTCCATATGCAAAGATAAGATTATCTGATTCTCAAGACGTTATGCTACTTGCACTGTATGGTATTCATTACCACATATGGTCATTTAAATTTAATTATAATTAAAGTTAAACATATATATTTAAGTTGAATATGATTTAAAATTCAATTCTTCAGTTATACTAACTGCATTTCAAATGGACAATGGTAGGAGCTACTACTGTTTTTATTATACTTTTTATAATTTGATGCCCATCTGAAATTTGTTTTGCCATTTTTCATTTTCGTAATCCTTTAAAATGATTTAAATTTGAATAATTGCTTTAGCTGAAGGTCAGTCTCCAAGGTCTTGTCAATCTCTGTAGTAATAGATACATTGTGTCACCTTGTCTTTTTCCATTAAAAATGCATGTCTGTGTTAATAGATGTTTTTCTATAAGGATTTATAATGGCTAAATAGGATTCTGTTGCCTATGTCCATGTCGTGTATTACATCTATCTACCCAGACACACCATATTTTTATTTTACTAATCCTCTATTGTATTTAGGTTGTGTTGATTTTTTTAAACATTTTAATAAAATGCAATGTTGCACTTAATAGCCTTATAGTTGTCCTTTTATCCATAATTATTTTCTAAGTATAAATTCTTAAAAATAGAATTGTACATTTTTAAGACTTTTAGTACATATTGACAAATTGCCTTTCCAAATATTGTACCAATTTTCTTTCTGAGAGTATTCATACCGACTTTCATAAATGTGATGCCAAAGCTTGTAAGCCTATGTAATTCTTATTTTTAATTAGACTATCAGGAGACTAACAATGCACAAATTAACCGTTCGTTCTGTAGCTGCCTGAACACACAGTAAAACTCTGTGACAATTTATCCAAAAAGAATTCTAAGTTTGAAGAGTGTTGTCAAGAAAAAACAGCCATGGACATTTTTGTGTGCACTTACTTCATGCCAGCTGCACAACCCCCCGAGCTTCCAGAGGTGGAGCTGCCCACAAACAAAGATGTGTGTGATCAAGGAAACACCAAAGTCATGGATAAGTAAGTAGAGGTGATGTGAAAACGTGTTCCCATTTTAAGTTCATCTGGACAAAAAGTGGAGGCCAGCCAGACAGAGGGAAGGTATGCTATCACTCATTTCAAACACAGGCAAAGTACTACTTTTATGCTTTTCCTGGACTTTAAGTATTTGTTAATTGATTGTAAATGACTAAAATTTGTAAAACACCATAATCAATTGAGTGTGATAGAAAGATTTTGGGTAGGGAGAAAGGAGCTTAGAGTTCCTAATTCTGCCTTCTCTGATTCTTGTGCACTGCCAAAAGAAGTGACTTGACAATTCTGAACTTCAGTCTATTGTTAATTAATTTGAAAATGTTAATACTTGCCTTATTTAGCATACAGATTGCTAATAAGAAATGCATGTAGAAATGTCAGTGAAAGTAAATGTGAAAACACATATTTGTATACAATGCTGAACACATGTAAAATATATCACGTAACCAGAAATGTTTTTAATATTATTAACTAGTTTTATCATATTAATTCTGGCTCAAAATCACAAATCAAAAGCCTAAAGTATACTAAACTTTTGGACAATAAGCATTTGATACAAATAAAAGAGATAGCAAGCATAGAATATTTTTTTCTTAGCATTATCGATATTCATTTTCATTAAATTTAAAAAGAGATTTAATGCAAAGAAATGGTAAACTTTTGTCTTGTTTCATCCAGCTAAAAAAAAAGTAAGATAAATATACCATGGTTTGAATAGATGTGTATGCATCATCATGGCATAAAAATATTTCACAAATAGTTTGAAACCACAGGTTGAAATATCAATTAGCAATATCAGATGGCAGAAGTTATATAGGACTGAAACTTTAATTTACATTTTTCTAAACGTTTATTGTTTATATAAGTGCATAGACAGCAGTGGGATAAGACATAATGAAATAATTTACACAAACCTATTTTCACAGAAAAGCCTTTTGAAGTACCCACTTGATGTTTTATATGGGGTCAATTGTATTATGCTTGCACAAAGACAGTTCCATATGCATTTGAAGTAAATATGTTTACATATAATATATTTAAATGTATATTATAAGCAAAGCTTTAGTTCAATATTGACTAGTCACGATAGCAAGTATTAGTAGCTTGTATCTCAATGAAAGTATTTTATAATCCAAAGCCTGTTGATTTAGAGTCAGTCTGAGCTAAATCTCTTCTTTTTAATTAAGATGCAGAAACCAAGTGCTCTGCCTTTATGACAGATATTTCACATTTCAAAATGTAGGCCGGGCACGGTGGCTCATCCCCACAATCCCAGCACTTTGGGAGGCTGACTCAGGCAGATCACTTGAGGTTAAAATTTCCAGACCACCCTGGCCAAACCTGGTGAAACCCTATCTCCACTGAAAATACAAAAATTAGTCGAGCATGGTGGCAGGCACCTATAATCCCAGCTACTTGGGAGGCTGAGGCATGAGAATCGCTTGAACCCGGGAGGCAGAGGTTGCAGTGAGCCAAGATGGTGCCACTTCACTCCAAACTGGGTGACAGAGGGAGACTCCGTCACAAAAAAAAAAAAAAGTAAATATATAACACATATCTCCTTTTCTCTCGCATGCTAGGTATACATTTGAACTAAGCAGAAGAACTCATCTTCCAGAAGTATTCCTCGTTAAAGTACTTGAGCCAACCCTAAAAAGCCTTGGTGAATGCTGTGATGTTGAAGACTCAACTACCTGTTTTAATACTAAGGTATATTTGCTAGATTTTCTTTATCAAGCACATAGATCAAGGGTTGGAAAATTATAGTTCATGAGCCAAAACTTGCTCACTGCCTACTTTTATATGGCCTACAAACTAAGAATAGAAGAATGGTTTTACATCTTTACATTGTTGGGAAAAAAGCAAGAGAACATCAGTATCTCATGACCCATGAAAATTATACAAAGTTCAAATTTCAGTGTTCATACATTAACTTCCACTGGGACACAGTCATCCTCGTTGTTTCTGCAAAGCTTACAACTGCTTCTGTACAGAGTTGAGTAGTTGCAACAAAGACCATATATGGCCTGCAAACCCTAAAATATTTATTATCCTGCCTTTCGTAGAAAACATTTGCCAATGCTTAATGTATATAATACTCATACTGATACAATATTTGGAATTTTGGTTTAATGGCCAGATGGGACAACATTTCAAGACAAATAATTTTGTTATGCAATTATTGTTTTCTTACAGGGCCCTCTACTAAAGCAGGAACTATCTTCTTTCATTGACAAGGGACAAAAACTATGTGCAGGTTATTCAGAAAACACATTTACCGAGTACAAGAAAAAGTAAGAAACTTGTTCTGGCTGTATCCTCCAAGTTTATCAGTAATATTTTCTTAGTACTACGAATTGAAAGCATAGCTGAACACTTAAGCTTGTCTTCAGTGAACAACAAAAAAAAGGAGGTTCAATTAGGAGTTTTTTAAAGTAGTCAGAATCTCATAGAGTGGAATAATAGACATTGGAGACCCCAAAAGGTGGGAGGTTAGGAGAGGGGTGAAGGATAAGGAACTCCCTATTGGATACAGTGTACATTATTTGGGTAATGGTTACACTAAAAACCTAGACTTCACTATGCAATACATCCATGTAACAAAAATGCCCTTGTACCCCCTAAATCGTTTTATTTTTTAAAAAGTAGTTCGAATCTAACATCTGTATAGGAATAAGCTAAGTTTTTCTGGGGGAAAAATGTCATGTTTATCAAGTGAGCGGCCAATTAAAACAGCCACAAAAATATAGATTACAAAATCTATCTGCAGGAACTTGATTCAAAATGGCAAAATGAGCACATAACTTAGCAATATTCTTACCCCAGAATTTTCTGTAGATATTGCTGTACAAAATTGAGGACCTATAAAACTGCTAAAAGTATTATCTAACTTCATGGCATATTGCCTGGCAAGAAGACCCGAACTTTCAATCAAGCATACTGTCAGCCATCAACAACATATATACCCTATACATTAGAAATAGAAATGTTAACTACCAATAATGTTATATAATAGTCATTTTTCTCAATTAAGACAAGGAAAAAGCATTTTCTATAAATAGACATTAACAGTAAAATAATCGGCCACAATAAGGAAAGAAGTGGTACTGGGTTCTTGGGGAAAGTCTCCATTGAGAAGACCATGTCATTTTTCCTAACTTTAGTAAATTTCTCAGATCCTATTCCCTACCCCTCAACTTTTTTTTTTTTTTTTTTTTTGCATCCTCTGAGTCTCTTCTAGTCTCATTTGCACCCCTCAGCAGCTCAAACCTACTTGTTTCAACAATGCTTTTATGAACTAACTGGTCACCCTTACCCTTTTCTCCCTTCTCAGCATCCATTCTTGCCAAGCCCAACTCTAGATTTGCTTGGGTCTCCTTATCTCCAATTGCCCAACGCTGGGCTGGCAAGCATTTCCTGAAGAAAGTCATAAAACCAAGCTGAGTTGTTCATTATGGTAGTGGAGAGATGACGAGATCATCAGTTGTTCAAATTGAAAGAATCAGGACATATCAAGTCCTATCACCATCCTAAAAGAGAGATGGAGAGTTCATTTTTAGCAGAGCTAAAAATAAGAGCCAAAGTTTCCTTACTCCCATATCAGTGTTTTCCAATATAGTGAGTTGAGAAGTAGGTAAACTGAGGGTGAAATTATATAAATTATGAGAGAAAAAGGGGCATTAAGGTGGTATAAGGTCTTGTAAAGGAAATATTCTTTAAGGAATTTGAAATCTAAAACTGAAGAGAAGGTGAAAGGTTAGGAAAAAATAGAAAAGGGACTCTTCTATCTTGAAATAATGAGGAAATGAAAGAAGACTGGAATTTCAATTCAGCAGCGATTTGTATGTTTACTTTTATGACCTCAAAGAGGCGTATGTTTCACTTTCTGATCTCAAATTGACTATTCTATACCACAGGTACAGAATTTTCTTGAGACAGGCATGTATTTCATCTGAAATGGCTATTATTTTGCATTAGAAAGTTGTATAAAATAAATACATGTAGTAAGACCTTACATTTAAATGGTTTTTCAGACTGGCAGAGCAACTAAGAGCAAAATTGCCCGATGCCACACCCACGGAACTGGCAGAGCTGGTTAACAAGCGCGCAAAATTTGCCTCCAACTGCTGTTTCACAAACTCACCTCCTCTTTACTGTGGTTCAGAGGTAGGAAAATGTAACCCTCTACTTAATACAGCAGAATCTTTTAAGAATGTATGCACTCAGATCTACTCATTTCTTTCCTGTTATTGAGATCTCATTTTGTGACAGGCTTTTCCTGGTGTTATTATAACTTGGCTGTCTTTGCAATGAAAGTAAAAAACATAACTGCTTTCATGTTATGCTCATTTAAAAGCAAGTTGAGGCAGTTGTAAAACTTAGGAAATTTTATACTTTTTTAAGAAACAAAAAAGTCTGTGAATACAGGCAACAAAATATGTGTAGTGTTTTATGAATTGTGAGTTGGAACCTAATAACAGCCTTTTTAAATGAAAAAGAGAAGAATAAGAATACAGTGAAAACATCAGAGTTCATTACCTTCACATAGTGAAGGTAAACTGCATTTCATATATCTGTATGTGTGTTTATATAGATATATACATATGCATATATAGGTAGGTAGATTGATAAAAAGAAATACTTTAGAAAAATGGGGTCATATCATACCTTCTATTAATATGTCAATTATAAAAATATTGCATTTAATTTTGTTTTAATATGACATAAGAAAAAATGCAACTGAAGAATTTCTAAAGGTCACAAATGTTTCATTACTATAAGAGTTATTTTCTAAAAACTAAAAATGATTTTTAAAAATATTAAAATTTTATTCATTTTTTTATTACAAATTTCTTTTTTAGACACTATCCGTTGGCTCCAAACTCTGAAAGCTAAAGATATTAGAACTCCTATATATCTTCCAGTTTCCCTCCCTACTCCCCCCAATTTTGGATAGTTCTTGGATTCATCTTTCCTTAAATGTCCCTTCCCCTCATCCCTGTCTCCCCTTTTTCTTCCTTCCCCTCCCGCTTCCTGGTTCAGGTCCAATATTGTTAACAGTAAAATAACCCCTTCCCCAATCCCCTCCTTCTTTCTCTCTTTCCCCTTCTCTCCCGTAAATGTATTTCCATAGTTGCCAGATCATTTATTTTTTAATTTGTGCAAAACACGGGCAGTTCCGGCCAGAACTTTTTGTTTTCTCTGATAGTATTAATAGATGAATTAGTGTTTATCTAATCACTGCATCTGAGGCCTATTGGTTGTCTCCTACAAACCACAGTGTTATGTTGGTATCTTGTATTCTGCCCATCTTTATATGGACTGAAAGTGTGAGAGAGGGGAGGAGACCTCAGGTAGATTGTGTGGGCCTATTGTTAGCAGACCTGAGCTATGCTTAGACTTCTGAGATTTCAAGTGTCTTGTACTAAGATTTCTTTCACCAAGTCAGTATCTGCCCTATTCTCATGGGGAGGGGTGTGTTTTGCTGGCCTTTTTCAGAAAATGTCAGCCCATATGTTCACATCCTCCATTTTACCTGTTACTCTCCAGCAAGCATTTCATTTTTTTAGAAGAGTCAAAAGACAAAAACAACACTTCATTTCACTTTACTGCTTATTTGGAGACATTAGTAATAACTCCAAGAATTGTGTTTTCTTGCCCACCCTATTTCTCAAATATAGAGGCAGGGTTAGGAATAATTCTATGCCATACCAAATGCTACTTAGGTTAAATGATTTCATGCCAATTAGAAGCCCTTAAGCCCTTGTTTTGCTTGTTTGTTTGTTTGTTTGTTTTGAGATGAAGTTTCGTTCTGTCACCCAGGCTGGAGTGCAGTGGTGAGATCTCAGCTCACTGCAACCTCCACCTCCTGGGCTCAAGTGATTCTCCTGCCTCAGCCTCCTGAGTAGTTGGGATTATAGGTGCGCACCAACATGCCCAGCTAATTTTTGTATTTTTAGTAGAGATGGGGTTTCACCATGTTGGCCAGGCTGGTCTGGAACTCCTGCCCTCAAGGCCCACCTGGGCCTCCCAAAGTGCTGGGATTACAGGAGTGAGCCACCCACCGTGCCTGGCCAGAAGCCCCTTTCTATAAATTAAATAATTTAAGAATTTACCTGAAGTTTTGTTCATCTATCAGCCGCGAAAGCAATAAAGCCTAGCTTCTGTTAGACTGAATTTAAAAATATCCAAGAACTTAATTTTTAAAAAAGCAGGTCACAGAAGTATAAATGCTCAAAGAAAACTATAAAGATCATCTAGTGTAATTTCTCACTCAGTTAATTCCTTCCAGAGGTGCATTCAGCCTCCATTTAAATATAGTCAATTTATCTACTCCTAGGAGTCGAAACAGAAATGGCCGATTTCATTGCCAGATAGCTGCATTATGAGAACATTCTTCTGTAAATTAAGCTGTGATATTCCCTTTGTAATTTCTCCTGCAATCACCCCAGCTTTCTCAATCAACTAGAAAATGTCTATTCTCTCTTCGCAATAGCAGCTTTTTTATACTTGAAGTGGCTTTTTAAAAATTAAGCTGTGTAAAGTATTTTTTTAAAGTATTGGGCTATGCATTCCAAATTTCTTAATATTCATATTGTAGTAAAGTTTTATTTGTTTTGTTGTGTTTTGTTTTGTTTTATTTTATTGTGCAGTGCCTAAGAAAAAAGTCTTAGTTTGACAAATGGAGCTACATCTTTTTCTAATGTCCTCCTTATAGCCTTAGGGATTCTGGTTTCTTTTCTAATTTCCATATTTACACTCTGGTCCAAAACCTATTTGCTAATCTTGTTTGTAACAATTTATAAAGTCAGAATTCCAGATGGCGAGAGTACAGTAGAATAAAAGTCTTTTCTTTAAATTCCACTGACAAATATGCCATCTTAATTGTTCATTAAAATTCAAACTAAGATTCTCAACATAAAAACAGAAGAAGCTGGATTGTCAGAATATTTTGGTCATTGTGGGCATTAAAACATTTTTAGCATAAAATAATTAATTAATCTGAACAGTTCCTTCCTTTCATACCAAGTTGTTTTTGGTAACCTAAATATAGTATCAATTTAGGTGGCCTTAACCTAGAAAAATAAAATCACTTTACATAGAAGTTGTTTGCTACCAGAAAAATTTGCTCTGAGAGTCTGTTATTATGACAGAAAAAGAAAACAGTCTAAATGTCTTTTAGATTCTATAAGAAATGTCACTTTTGAAACCTTCCCTGTGCTTTTGTTATTTGTCTATACAGATATGCACTGTCCTGCCTGACATCATACAAAACAAACTGAGCTTTAAGCGCAAATTCATGCTTCCTAAAAGCCCCTGGTTTTGCATTTCTTTGAGTTGGTTTTCAATATATTTTTCATTATAACATATTGCCATTCAAATCACTACAATGATGAGAAGGCAGGTTTATAGCTCTCTCTCTTCTTGCTTTATCGCTAGTAAATTTATAGCAGCTGAGTAGCCTATCTTTCAGTAATTGCTAAAGTAGGGTGAGATGAATGCAGTTGTTGAGATACTTGTGCACATTTGATTATTCAGAGCACTCAGAGATTAAATCCTCTAGTATTTCAATTAGCCTTCTGATTGCCTTTGTAAACTGATCTCATAGCTAGGTAGGCAAGTTCACCCCTCCTTTCTGACTTCACGTTAGTGCAACATCCATTTGAACAGCATTCTCTTTAATTTCCAATGCCTAATGTGAATGTCCCATTTGTCCTATAATATTTGGATCCTAATTTGTGAGATCTCTTTGTCATATATTTGCTTGAAAAAATTTTCCTTAAAAGAAATATCCATCTACTCCTTTCACTCTAAGTCACTTATATCCAGGGATCAGTCTCTACTTGTCATTCCAAATACACTTGGCACAACTACTGGAAGACTGGCAAAAGGGGCTTCTGAACCTTACTAATTTAGTGTTTCATTACATGGAAATTTAGCGTTTCCTCACCCCAATCTTGAAATGACCAGGACATAGAACAACCAATGTCATTTTCTTTTGGCTTTACCATGGTACTCGTAGAACTGGTTCATTTGTTTATGCCAAAAAAGGCCCATTTGCCTGCAGAAAAACCTATAGTTACAAAATTAGACTTGCAATCTTTTTTTTCTCTTTCTGCCATCATTCAGGCAGAGCATTACTATGCTTCCTTTAAAATGTTTCAACAGACTGCTAGTGAGCATCAGATATGATTTCCCAAAATATTCCAAAAGTCATTGTAATATGCTGGAATTGATCACTAAAATCTTGAAAACAGAGACAAATACAAATAGCCAAGTAGAAGCGGGGCAAAGAGGAGACCGACAAGTAGAGTGATATACTGTCTACCCCCATGCTCCCCTCTGTCTTTCTTATATCAGGAAAAACTAGTATAGTCACTGTAGTTTGTTTTATCTCTTGGTATAACTCGATTTTATAATCCTCAGTGTCATAACTATCGTTGATTAAGCCACTGCTATATGTTAAGCAGAAATATTAATAGCCTGGCATATATGTATTTATAGAATAACCCAAAACAATTCTAGATATTAATTATTATTTTAATTCCCCCTTTTACAGATGGTTGAATAAAACTTACAGAGGTTATATGATGTTAGGAAAATCTAAGTTTATTCTGTATTAGTCTGTTACTCTTCCTCAATGTCCTTGTCATAGACTTCAGCCCAAACTTAGCTAATCATGACAAAAGCAAACTATTGATAGAAGACTATTAACTGAAAATCCAAAATTATTGTTAAGTAGCAAAAATTATACTGGGTTGATAATATCACCCTGAATTCTATCCATCTCACTTCCTTGGACTCTTCCTCCATTAGATGTACTCTCTTCTTTTGCATCAACATTTTTACCAGCTCTGTCCAATTTGTATTAAAGTTACTCTTCTTCTTATCTCAAAAAATAATAAATAAGGCACTTTAGATGCCTCCCTAGATATATTTCTTTCTCCTCCCTTACAGCTAAGGTTCTTGCAAGAATACCATATACTCCAGCTCCTCATACTTATTAACTCCTCAACCCTTTGCAGTCTGGCTTTTGATGGTACCATATGACTATCAACAAAGGCACGCCAACAGTATCCTTCTTGCTAAGTCTAATAAACATTTTTCAGTTCTTACCAGGTTTTCCTTAAAACACTTGATACTGATAAGTATTCCTTTCTTCTTGAACCAATTTACTTAGCATCTGTATTATTATTTTCTACTTTTTGTCTTTCTATGATTCCTGTCTTCTTGTTCTATTTCATGTTGTCCTCTTCCTTTACCTATCTCTTAAATTTGTTTACAGAGTTTTTTCCTTGCTCTCCATTTCCACGGTACTACATTTTCTCAACTGTTTTCATCAATGCTTATGCTTTCAATCTGCAAATCTCTACCTCCAACCAAGATCTCTCCTTCAGCATCAGGCTTTTTATCCAACTGCCTATAGGACTCTCTTCTCCCCCAGTATCTTGTCCCATAAGAAATTTAAAATCAACACAGCCAAAATATTGTTCCTATAACCTTCTCTATGGTTTTTGAGTTTATGAATACTATCATCATTTACCCATTGCCCAACGATGAAAATTTAGTGACTTTTTTTATTTCTCCTTCTCTTTTTCCGTATGCACCAAATAAAATTCCAAATCTCATCAATTCTAATTCTGCAGCATCTCTCAATCTCCCACCCACATTCTTCTACATTCTTGGTATTTAGTTTCAGGCAATCTTTCACCTGAATTACAGCCTGTCCATTGGTCTCCCACCTCCAGTCTGCCAACAGTGCCTCACATCCAATCCCATCTCCATACTGAGGTCAAATCAACCTTTTTAAAACGCAAAAATGATTAATACTCTTCTCTAATAGTTCCCATTGCTTCCAAATTAAAGTACTTTTTTTAAAAAAACAAAATACAGATATTTTGGACCTTGATTTCTTCTCCAAGTAGTGACTTGCTGTCATCACTTGTCGTGCCTCCTACTTGGGTTCTCCTGAGCTACTTGCAGTTTTCCAAACACATGAAACTTGCTCTTATCTCAACGCCTTTGCATGTAATGACTCCACCCGCTTGCCCTATTTCTCATCAGGTTTGCCTTGGCTGAATAGTTCATCAGGCTTTAGGGTTCAAGTTAGAAGACATCTTCTCCTCTGAGAATTCTTCCCTAGCACTCAAACTTCTCTGTTGTCCAATAACATTCTATGTGCACCCAATAATTAGCACTTATTAAACTCTACTGCCATTTTTTCTTGTCTACTTTTCCCAGCAGACTGTAAGCCCTTCAACGGCAGAAATGATGTAAAGTTAAATAAATGTGAAGGGTGGCTAATAAAAACTGCAATGTAACATTGCATCTTGGCAAGAATCCTTTCCTCTAACCAAGGTTTCAAGACTTTATATACCTTCTGCATAATATAGTAGGCTACAAATGAAATACTTCATAAGTTATATAACATTCTTTTTTCATTACCAGATTGATGCTGAATTGAAGAATATCCTGTAGTCCTGAAACATGTATATTAACTTTGGTAAGTATATTTTTTAAATGCACAACCAAAGAATCTAGCATTGTATGATGTATTTTAAATACCAAAGAATTGGAAGGAGACTTTAATAAATTTATTCTTATCTGCTCAAACTCATTTTACAGATGAGAATATTAAGCACTGAGAAAAGTTAAAGAGCTTACACTTTCACAAGAGCAAACAGTCAACTTCTGATATATTTAAGACTAGAATCCAGGTTTACTGGTCCCCTGCCTTGTGCTTCATCCATCATAATCTCACGTGTAACATAATGACAGCATAAAGAACATTTAAAGGATTCTGCCCATCTCTACTAAAAAATACAAAAAAACTAGCCGGGCGAGGTGGCGGGCACCTGTAGTCCCAGCTACACGGGAGGCTGAGGCAGGAGAATGGCATAAACCCAGGAGGCAGAGCTTGCAGTGAGCTGAGATCCGGCCACTGCACTCCAGCCTGTGCGACAGACTGAGACGCTGTCTCAAAAAAAAAAAAAAAAAAGATTCTGATGCACTTCAATAGGAAGAACTCTGAGTTTAAAGATAGGGTTCATCAAGTCTTAAAATGACACAGCAAGGACCTTAGGAGGGAAGGGACATTCTTATTCAAATTAAAACATTACTGTTGAAATAGTGTTACTTGCTTTTTTTCAGTTACTATATTTTCACCTATTAAAAAATGCCAGATGTAGATACTAAGAACATAAAAGAGTTTATTCCTACATAAGTTCACATCTTAAACTGAAGTTGACCTGAACTCTGCACATTTCAACAAAAATATTTTCTCTCCAGATTCAATTGTATTTATGCTAAACATATTATGCCTGAGACTTTTGATGCAAACTTATTTGGATCTCAGTTCTTAGCTGAACTGAGGCTTTTTAATAATGTCAATTTTTATTTTGCTGACTTACTGACAACCCTGCCCAAAATAATGTGGAAACAAAAGCCTTCCAATCCATTGACTAACAACATTAAATCATTTCGCCATATTCAGCTTTTCAACTATTAATTATTTAAGTCTTCTGAAGCAGTAAAAAAGAAAATTAACACTCTGAGAACCAGTGCAAGGGGGATGGTCAAGAAAACTCGTTTTTGAAATCACCCAACCTGGATTAGAATCCCCACTCTATCTGTGAATTTGAGCAAGTTATCTAACCTGTCTAAAGATGAGTTTCCTTTCATGTAAAATGAAATTTTCAATATCTCCCTCGCAGTGTTGTTATAATGATTGAGATGGTGTATATAAAATATCTAAAAAGTAGTAAAAATGAATATTAGCAGTAATACTAGCAAAGTTGTTGCACTGATGCTCCTACTACTACTGATATGAATCTAAACTAAAAAGTTTTCCTGCCCATATATTTTTGTGCTTTGGTATACAAATATCATGTCCTAAAGATAAAGTAAGTTCTCTAAATAATTTTCCAAGGGATAAAAATCAAAATGCAAGTTACTTGAAGTATAAATATTCTAGAGTTAAAATAATTTCTGATCTCTGTTGCTGCTAAATTATTACATCTTCCCACCATTTGAATGAACCTACTTTCTCTTTATCTCAATCTACATGTAATAATCTCCAAAGAGTTAAAATCGCAATATGCAACAGTGACCTCATCTCTCATCCTTCAAGATTTATTAAGCTTTGATTAAAAGTCAGGGTTATTTGGAAAGCTATATAACTTTGATTTTGAATATGTTTTTCACTGGACTATGTTATTATTCAGAACTCAGAGTGCATTTCCTTAGTGTTGTATGTTTTCAGGCTTTGGGAAAACTAATTAAAATAGAAGATATCCTAAGATAAGTAAGGAGGAAGTAATAATTTGATGGATTTCAAGAGATTTCTTTTCAGAACAAATTTCAGAAGTATGTTTAATGCTAACTAAATCAAGAGATAAACTCAGTTTGTCAGTGACAAATTAATGAAGATTCTAATATACTGATTCTTCTGGTTCATGGTCATTATCTTCATCTGATAAGATGAAGAAATGAAATTTCTTATTCCTCCTGTGTTAGTCTACATTTTTCTCTGGCCTTTAATTAATCCTTTGATTTCTGTGCTACTCAATTGTTTGGCTACCCAAATACACTTTGATCATCAGGATGGATTATTCACATATTCACATATTCCTTCCTAAAATTATTCACATATTCCTTCCATGGATTTTGGTAACATGCATTGACTGTTTTGAGCTCAATTTTATCCACTGCTTGTTTATCACCATTGCATTCTGCAATGATGAAGGCCTACCAAGGTTCAATTATTTCAGGAATAGTTACATGGCTTTGAAAATGCAAATTATAGCTTGTTCACAGGGTTATAGGTCTGAGATACTTGATATCCAGAAATAATGGGACCACAACTTTACTACTTATCTTAGGTTTCCAGAACACAACCAACTCATTGCAGTTCCTGGGTTCCAGGGGGAATTTTGTAGCTGTATTGGACAACTGTGAAGTCATTCAACTATCAGCAGCATTACCCCCAAAATGACACAATCCTAGTCATGAGCTGCTCTAAATCCATGTCTTAACGTAATGACTTCAGAGTAAGTGCTGAGTACTTTCCCTCAGATAGATCAGTCTTTTCATCATATATTCATCATGATTTCAGAGTAAGTGCTGAGTACTTTCCCTCAGATAGATTAGTCTTTTCATCATATATTAAACTATTCAAGTAGAAAATATCCATTTTCTTCAATGATTTTTCCCTTTTCTATAACAGGTGATCCGCATAAGTGGCACATTGTTTAGAGTGAAGCAGTTCCTAAAACCATTAAGCCAACTTCGGTTGACCATGTGTTTGATTTCCATTTAAGCCTACCCATCTCTAGTTAGGGATTTGAATCACTCATAGAAATTGAAGCCTTTTGTCTCAAGGTATTCCGATCCCTAGTAATACCTCTGATTCATGTCTTCCTGTCAACAGTTTCACACAGTTTCACTCTCAATTAGAGTCTTATTAAAAACTTCAATTCTCATCTTGACAGTTACTGGTCTCCTTGATCAATCTTTTTCTTCAAGCCTTCAAGCTCCAAATTGATTGTGGCCACACTTGCATGCACTTTTGGAGACAGAATCTCTGTCTCTCTTTCCCCCCACTCCTGCCTCCGAGACGGAGTCTCACTCTGTTGCCCAGTCTGGAGTGCAGTGGCATGATCTCAGCTCACTGCAAGCTACCCCTCCTGGGTTCACGTCATTCTCCTGCCTCAGTCTCCTGAGTAGCTGGGACTGTAGGCACCCGCCACCACACCCGGCTAATTTTTTCTATTTTTAATAGAGACGGAGTTTCACTGCGTTAGCCAGTATGATCTTGATCTCCTGACCTCATGATTCGCCCACCTTGGCCTCCCAAAGTGCTGGGATTACATGCGTGAGCCACCATGCCCGGCAAATCTCTGTCTCTTAATAAATCTCACAAAGCCTGGTATTTTTTGTTATTAGCTTTGGAAGCAAGTAGTAGTCCCTCTGGGTTGCCAAAAACATAAATGAGTTGGTACACAATGTAGAATCAGATTGGGTGAAAATATTTTAGATACCAGAATCACACCCAGCACAGAGAGTTGCTCACACGATGAGAAAAACATAGGAACTGAGGCTGTGAGTGAACAGATTTGTGTCTCTCATTGCATCCTCACTCCAAAGCATAAACTCGAAGACAATGAAACATGGAATTTTTTATACTGTGCAGATAGAACTATGACATAACTATATTATATTGTCTTGGAAGAGGGAAAAAATTAAGGGAGACTATTTGGCCCTAATACAAAGTAGAAGACGATTTGATAAAAATTCACGCTCAGTGTTTTGCTAAAATTAAAACTACTGAACTATTGTCTCAATTCCATGATTCGGGGACTCATTATGCCACTGGTTGACAGCTTTGCCCTGGCCATAATTGTTATTACCATACAGCAGAAAGTTGCATTCATCACCAGTTAAAAATGTAATTAAAAAACACTGCACAGGCCAGGCGCGGTGGCTCACGCCTGTAATCCCAGCACTTTGGGAGGCCGAGGAGGGTGGATCACAAGGGCAGGAGTTTGAGACCAGCCTGGCCAATGTGGTGAAACCCTGTCTCTACTAAAAATACAAAACTAAGCCAGGCGGGTGCTGGCGCCTGTCGTCCCAGCTACTCGGGAGGCTGAGGCAGGAGAATAGCATGAACCCGGGAGGCAGAGCTTGCAGTGAGCTGAGATCATGCCACTGCACTCCAGCCTGGGCAACAAAGCAAGACTCTGTCTCAAAAAAAAAAAAAAAGAAAAAAAGAAACACTGCACAATATGCAATGTGCCCTGGTGTATAACATATAAAACCATCACTATTGGTATTGGGACTGTCTTACATTTTTTTCTTATTCTGGACCTATGAGATGGGCCATAGTGGATATATGGGTCATCCTAGACAGAGTCATTTTTGGCATAAATATTAAAATAGCATGAGGTTATATGCGTCTGTTGAGCAGTATTATGGTTGTTGCCCATTAGCTCTGTTTTTCTAACATAAAATTCATTTCATTATTCTCATAGACCTAGAGTTGGAGCCACCCAGGGGAATGACCTCTGATGACCTAACCTAAGCAAAACCACTGAGCTTCTGGGAAGACAAGTAGGATACTTTCTACTTTTTCTAGCTACAATGTCTTCATACAATGATAAGTATGATGATTTGCTATCAAAATAAATTGAAATATAATGCAAACCATAAATACGACTGAGAATTATGTGGCTCTGCACAATGTTGATCTTCAGAACTATTCCTCCGTCTTTCACAAAAATGCTGCAGTAGGCAGTCTCATAAGGCCTGTTTTTGTCTAGATCTCTGCTGTTTCCTTCTAAAAGACTCAACATTAAGCATGCACTTTACAATTCCCAATACACTAAACTCCATTCCCTGATTGATTCTCAGGCTTAGTAGGCACCATTAAGAAAAAGGTAGACTGGGCACAGAGACTCATGCCTGTAATCCCAGCACTTTGGAAGGCCAAGGCGGGCAGATCACAAGATCAGGAGTTCGAGAGCAGCCTGGTCAATATGGTGAAATCCTGTCTCTACTAAAATTACAAAAATTATCTGGATGTGGTGGCATGTGCCTGTAGTCCCAGCTACTCAGGAGGCTGAGGCAGGATAATTGCTTGAACCTGGGAGGTGGAGTTTATAGTGAGGGAGATGACGCTACTGCACTCCAGCCTAGGCAATAGAGCAAGACTCTGTCTGGAAAAAAGAAAAGAAAAAGTTACACAGTCTTCTACCATAAAGCCTAGAATGTCTCACTTTTTAGAAACTAACAGCCAAAAACCAACAATAGTAACAAAAATACTCCTGAAACTACCTTCTTGCTTCCAGCTACAAGTTGCTTGGAATTAATTAAGTAGTATCTGTCTTGCAAAAAGAAAATCTTTATAGTTTGAACAAGTTTACTTTCACAAAAAACTGAGAGAAATTTATAGAGACAAAGTTCTAAAAACATGATTTTTCTGCTTAATTCAATATGTCACATATAAAAATATATACAACATTCTATGTGCCCTCTTGGCCAGGGAAAATGAAAGTGTTCTCTCTATTCTGCTTTAAAGGGAAGTTCATATTTTCAGAATAAATACCTCTTGGAAACCACTAAAAACCATGCAGCCTTCTATATGTAGACTTAATTGCATCAGGGAATTTGAATTCACCTCATGTTAGATGTAGAGTTATACAATAGATGAAGCAATTTTATGGCATATATAATTTGAGTCCAATTAACTAACATACCTGTCACTCCTCAAAATTCTAAGTCCCATGAAGGAGGATTTCATTAAGTGAGCCAAGGTCAAGTGACCATGCCTGTAGCTGCCAGGAACTGGGAAATAAAATGCCTGCCCCTTGTGGCTTCTACGTAGAAGGTGCAGCCCTACCTTTCACAAAGATTTCAAAATGAGAAATAAACCTCAAACAGAAGTTCTTTGGATGACAGAAAGTCAAAAAGCAACAAACTATCTGCTAATATTTAGGTAGCATTTTACGTTTTTAAAAAAATTCTCTTTCAAATATGACCTTACTGAAGCTTCAAACAACTCTGAGAAGTAGGTATCATTGCACTGATAAGACACAAGGAGACTGAGACTCCAAAAATGTGAATCAGTGGCTCTAGGTCACAGAGTTAGCAAAGAACAAAACAAGGCCTTAGTTTTCAATTGCAGTATTCCATGGAAGGCAAAGGGACATACCCGATGAATGTGTTCCCTGATCAAATTAGTTTTACCATCAGTATAGCATATCTCTTCTTTGAAGAGTCACAGAGTACTGTATATAATTCAGTGCCTCCAGATTTATTTGCTAACCCCTTTTCCTTTGACTATTTCCCAGAATTATTCTCTATAAAATTAATTTTGGAAAATTCTTTTCTTATTTGAGAAGTTACATTTATAAATCATTCATTAACTGCTGCAAACTGGTCCATTTTGGTAAAGTATTTTCATGCTTGACATGATAGAACTGGGTGTTTTTTTATCACAAAGTAGTCAATAAATATACAATTCACTGAAGTAGGGTTTTCATAGTTCCTATGGATATATTTTCCAGCACACTCTAAACACATTTCACAATTTTTTCTTATATTAAGAATCGCTGACAGAAATATTATAATTTTAGTAAAAGAGTTTTAATGTTAGATCTTATATGCATAATGATGTCATTTGTTCCATTTCCTAGGAAGCAGAGCTCTGTTGATAATATATTGCCAAATTTTATGCCTGCTTCCTAAGTGCTGCTCAGCATTAAACAGATGCTTTTGAATTTCCATCTACTGTCAACCATAGCTGATCTCACTAGCTAATTTCTCTTATATAAGAAGTCCTCAATTTTTTACACCTTACATATCACCTTCATGCAAACACCTGGGTCCTCACCATGATTGAAAACAAACAAACACACACGCTGTAATTTTGTATTAGTCCGTTTTCATACTGCTGAACAAGACATACCCAAGATGGGGCAAATTACAAAGGAAAGAGGTTTAATGGAGAACTCAGTTCCACGTGGCTGGGGAGGCCTCACAATCATGGCAGAAGGCAAACAGGAGCAACTCACATCTTATGTGGATGGCAGCAGGCAAAGAGAGCTTGTGCAGGAAAATTGTCCTGTGTAATAACCATCACATCTCATGAGAAAGAGAGCTTGTGCAGGAAAATTCTCCTGTATAATAACCATCACATCTCGTGAGACGTACCCACTATCATGAGAACAGCACAGGAAAGACTTGCCCCCAAGATTCAGTTACCTCCCACTGGGTCCCTCCCACAACATGTGAGAATTCAAGATGAGATTTGGGTGGGGACACAGAGCTGAACCAGATCATTCCACCCCTGGGCTCTCCCAAAACTCATGTCCTCACATTTCAAAATGGATCATGCCTTCCCAACAGTCCCCCAAATGTTAACTCATTTTAGCATTAACTCAAAAGTCCACAGTCCACATTCTCATCCAAGACAAGGCAAGTCTCTTCTGCCTGTGAGCCTTTAAAATCAAAAGCAACTTAGTTACTTCCTAGAAACAATGCAGGTACAGGCATTGAATAAATACAGCCATTCCAAATGGGAGACATTGGCTAAAACAAACAGGCTGCAGTAATCCAAAATCCAATGGGGCAGTCAAATCTTAAAGCTCCAAAATGATCTCCTTTGACTCCATGTCTCACATCCAGGTCACGCTGATACAAGAGGTGGTTTCCCATGGTCTTGAGCAGCTTTGGCCCTGTGGCTTGGCAGGGTATGGCCTCCCTCTTGACTGCTTTCATAGGCTGGTGTCCAGTGTCTGTGGCTTTTCCAGGCACATGGTGTAAGCTGTCTATGGATCTAGCATTCTGGGGTCTGGTGAACCATGGCCCTCTTCTCACAGCTCCACCAGGCAGTGCCCCAGTAGGGACTCAGTGTGGGGCCTCCAACCCCACATTACCCTTCCACGCTGCCCTAGCAAAGGTTCTCCATGAGGGTCCTGCCCCTGCATCAAAGTTTTGCCTTGGCATCCAGGTGTTTCCATTCATCTTCTGAAATCTAGGCAGAGGTTTCCAAATCTCAATTTTTGATGTCAGTGTACCTACAGGCTCAACACCATGTGGAAGCTGCCAAGGCTTGGGGCTTCCACCCTCTGAAGCAACATCCTGAGCTGTACCTTGGCCCCTTTCAGTCATGAAAAGAGTGGCTGGGATGAGTGGCTAGAGTGGCTGGGATGCCACTCTAGCATCCCAGAGTGGCTAGAGTGGCTGGGATGCAGGTCACCAAGTCCCTAGACTGAACACATAGCACGTGGAGCCTCGGCCTGGCCCACAAAACCATTTTCTCCTAGGCCCTTGGACCTGTGATGGGAGGGGCTGCCGTGAAGAACTCTAAAGTGCCCTGGAGACATTTTCCCCATTGTCTTGGAGAGATTAACATTTAGCTCCTCATTACTTAGGCAAATTTTATGCAGTCAGCTTCAATTTCTCCTCAGAAAAATGGGCTTTTCTTTTCTATCACATTGTCAGGCTGCAAATTGCCTGAACTTTTATGCTTTCTTCCCTTATAAAACTGAATGCCTTTAGCAGCACCCAAGTCACCTCTTGAATGCTTTGCTGCTTAGAAATTTCTTCCTCCAGATACCCTAAATCATCTTTCTCAAGTTCAAAGTTTCACAAATCTCTAGGGCAGGGGCAAAATGCCACCAGTCTCTTGCTGAAACATAACAAGTCATCTTTGCTCCAGTTCCCAACAAGTTCCTCATCTCCATCTGAGACCTCCTCAGCCTGGACCCTATTGTCCATATGGCTGTCAGGCTTCTGGTCAAAACCATTCAACAAGTCTCTAGGAAGTTTCAAACTTTCCCACATTTTCCTGTCTTCTGAGCCCTCCAAACTGTTTCAACCCCTGCCTGTTACCCAGTTCCAAACTTGCTTCCACATTTTCGAGTACCTTTTCAGCAGTGCCCCACTCTGCTGGTACCAATTTACTGGATTTATCTGTTTCCATGCTGCTGATCAATACATACCCAAGACTGGGCAACTTACAAAGGAAAGAGGTTTAATGGAGAATTCACATTCCATGTGGCTGGGAAAGTCTCACAATAATGACAGAAGTAAACGAGGAGCAAGTCACATCTTACGTGGATGGTGGCAGGCAAAGAGAGCTTGTGTGGGAAAATTCTCCCTTATAATAAACTTCAGATGTCATGAGACTTACTCAGTATCATGAGAACAGCATGGGAAAGACCTGGCCTCATGATTCAATTACCTCCCACTGGGTCCCTCCCACAACACATGGGAAGTCAAGATGAGATGTGGGTGGGGACACAGCCAAACCATATCAAATTTGTTTCTAAGAATGATGTTTACAAGTTCTATCAGTTAGGATTCTCCAAGGAAACAGAAACAACAGGAGATAGATAAAGAGATTTATTTTAAGAAATTGCTTATGCAGTTGTGAAGCTGGCAAGTCTGAAATAGTCTAGAAACACAGGCAGAATTTCTTTCTTTTTTTTTTTTTTAGATGGAATCTTGCTCTGTCACCCGGGCTGGAGTGCAGTGGCATGATCTCAGCTCACTACAACCTCTGCCTCCCAGGTTCAAGATATCCCTCTGCCTCAGCCTCCCAAGTAGCTGAGACTACAGGCGTTCACCACCACACCCAGCTAATTTTTTCGCTTTTTTTTTTTTGAGACGGAGTCTCGCTCTGTCGCCCAGGCTGGAGTGCAGTGG